TTTTTTTTTCACTAAAACTACCAATATAACAGCTAAATTATATAAGTTGAGGATGTAATATTTTCTAATTTATGAGCATATGTTTAAACATAGTAATTAAGTATAACCACTTAATTACACCAAAGTTTTGTGGGTTTTTTTTGTTGTTTTTTTTTTTAAACTCCCTGGTGTTGCATCTTTATCTTACAGCTAGACTCATGTTGTGCTTCAGATCAGCTTTCTGTCCAGTACTAACTCTGGCCTGATGATGCATCAGGCTTTGGGATTTAAGGTACTTTACTAACAAAATTGCAGTCCCTAGACAAGTGTACTGAATCTAGTGAGATAGTGGAAGTGAGAGATTCTACCTCAAATTAAGCAAGCAGCCAATGTATTGTGAAGAACACTCAAAATTACAGTGATGGTTTCAACTTACTCTTCCCAAATGTCTGAGTGCCTTTGGGTAGGGATTCCTTAAATGGATAAATGCAGCAAGTGTTGGAGTTTACCCCATCAGCTGAAGCACTATTGTAAGTGATTGATACATGGCATCACTACAGCTGCATGTACAGGCTGATGGTCTGTGGGCTGCAATGAACATCAATTCACTGAGTTTTATTGCTGATGTTTAACACTTGTTGGATTGAGTCAGTCTAGCCAGTTGTCTTAAACAAAACAATTGCTTTTGTTTAATTAATTGTGTCAGAGACTTCCTTAAAAGGAGCATAACTAAAATGGAATGTGAAAATGTATTCTATAAAATTGCTATATTAAAAGAAAGGTATTTCTGACTAGTAAGATTTTTATTGTACTGCTAAGCCCATCAAATCTGTGACTTAATAGTAGTGCAAATATATTTGGAGTGTTAAAAAAAACCCCAAAGAACCAAAACACCCCAGTGCTTCTGTGGTGATGCAGTAGAACCCATTAGAATGGCATGGTTATCTGCATGGTTATAGCTTGAGCAAGAGTCTATTGGTCAGAGATTTGTTGGCACCCTTGTAGCACACATGCAGTAGTCTGTGTCTGTGGTTTTGTTGGGGAAAGGGGGAGAATAATGCCTGTAGTGCTGCCAGCTCTTGCATCTGTTCTGAAACAAGTGTTAAGGAAAACGTTTGTGATCGTTCATTAGTTCAACTCCATCATTCTTATAGAAAACTAGTTATCCATGATCCTGGTTATGATGATCTTAAAAAATTAAGTCTGAAGTGACTAAAACAAAAGGTAGAAAGAAACAGAGAACAAAAAACCCCAAACCCTTATGTTGTGGTGGTTATGTTAAGAGTCTTATTCACAGTGCTTAAATACTTATGTGACTGTATTTTTACCCCTGTTTTCAGGTGTCTGTTTCAGAGAGCTGTAACTGACTGGTAACACTGTGGTGACTTTTAAAATTTTTAATGTTTTCAAAGGGAATCACAAAATTAATCTTAAACAGAAGGTCCAGAAAGCTTTCCCTGAGATCCAGTGGCTGGGGGAAAGATAGCACTGGACAATTGGTTTGGGTTTTTAGAAAGAATATTCATACCCCTGGATAGGAAATGTCAATTAATGCTTTTAATTACATAAAAGTTTTATCTTTTCTGAATGTATTCAGCTGTCTTCGTTAAGGTACACATCAATCTAAGAACACCCTACCATATCAATTAATGAAACTTATTCCTAAAATAATTGAGGTCTAACTCCTAAATATACTTGCCAAATGTTTTTGTAAGGCAGCTGATTCATAGAAAGCTTGGGTCTTGAGCTGAAGTACTGAAACTATGTAAACATTTTGTGGTAGCCAGATGTCCTTTAATAGCTTGATAATAATTGATGATTCTTCACATGAATTTCACCTTAGTGGGGTTTTTTTCTTGAACATATAACATATGTGGAATAGCCAGCAAATACAAATTTTATCAATCAGATTGAGTTTGACATTTTTAACACTTTTTAAACGTTACAAATGCCTGTTTACCATATGGTGTAAGTGGGTGTGCAGGAAACTACACTCTCATCAAGTCTGATATACTACTTTTCCATGATATGAGCATGAACAATTCCTTTTAGTAGTCCTTGCTGAAGGCGAGCCTTTGAAGAATGGGTGTGTAATTTCGGACTGTAACATTTACATTGTGTACTTCTGTAGGTGGCTATTTTAAAATCAATTAATCCTTTAGCTGTTCTTATTTTTATTTGACTTTATTCATAAAAGTTTGTTCCAGATTAATGTTGCAACATGTGAAAGACATAACAGAAAAGCAAAATTTGTATTTTCTTTCCACTGGTCTACTAACCAGTTCTTATTATTGTGGTCCCAAGTATCCTATTTCCTGTTTATATTCTACATCTGTAGAAGATGCTGCAGACTTTCAAGGGAATTCTGCAATCGTTGAACTGAAATCCTGTGTGTCATTAAGTTGAATTAGTCATCATAGTTTCTTGAGAGATAAGATCATTTTAATTTTCTGTGACTTGAAGATACTGATTCCAAATTCTGTTCTGGCTTGTTTGCATACAAGTAAGGTTTAATTCAGCTAAGCAGTCCCTCAGTACTCTTTTGTGCAGTACCTCAAATATACATTGGACCAGTGTTTCTTAGAGCATGTAACTTACCACTCCACGCAAACCAGTAACTTCTGCTTGCTCCTTTCCCAGACAAAAGCTTCTGCTTCTGCTGCAGCAGCCACCTGAAACTAGAAAAGTACTCAATGATAACTGCTTTTCAAATGACAAGTTGAAGCATTATTTAAAGGTCAAAAGGACACAGTTTTCCAAGAGAAAAGTGTTTGTACATAGGTTCATAAATATTTAACATGTGGCCCCATCAAGATGCAGCTTTTAACTAATTGCTACAAACTTGCACGTGCCTCTCTAAAATGACTTGTTGATTTAGTCTCTTATTTATCAAATAATCAATAGCTTAATTCATTTTAAAACAAAGTTCAGGTAAGGAAAAAAAATTGATCCATGTCTAAAACTTTTTTTAATTTCCATTTCTCAATATGTAATGCCTGGCAACTTCTCTGAAAATAGCAATACCTGTTTCTTTCTTTCTTGGTGTAAGCTATAAAAGCTACTCTTTAAGCAGAGTGTCTTAAACAGGGTCTGACATTTAAAACATGCTTGTAATTCATGAAACTATGTACAGTGACCAACTGCAGTTCCAAAATAAAAAAAAAAAAAAAAAAGCATGTGAGCTTCATGGTAATAAATATTTTGGTTTTAGAGTAATCCTTAAAACTGCACAAGCTTTCTGCTGTTTTTCAAAAATAATGTCTGTGGTAATATCCTCTTAAGCCCATGACAGGACTAAGAAAATTCAAGTAAAAATGCATGTAAATCTACATCATGGCCTGGAGAGGTTTACAGTGCTACGTCACACCAGCACTCAGAAAGTCATGACTGTTTCTGCCACCAGTCTTTTTTCGTATACAACCTGCATAATTCTGAGAAGGGTGAACTGAAGACAAGTAGAAATGCATCTCCTGGTCTTCCTCCCACCATCTCCAGCCTAACACTGTGCAGTGGCTCCTCTGGTCCTCTGTCAGCACTTGCTGTGTTCCCTGCTGACAAAGCCTCACCATGCAAGCGCAGCCTCCCGCCTGCCTGCCCTGGCCAGGGCCGCTCTGATTTACCAGCCCAGGGAGTAACCCTGGGAGCTCCCACCAGGAAAGAAAGAGCTCAGTCCTGGCTGGCATGAAGTGCATTGCAAAACCCTGTGGCCTCAGGCCAAAATCACAGACTTGACTTTGGATACTTCTCTTTTTTATATATAGGAGACTTTATGCATAAGTAATTTCTTTCCACACCTTGCCCTTACTTCAAGCATCTCTGAAAGTCCTTCTCACCGAGTGTCAGTGTTTGAGAGCTGAACTGTTTAGCTAAATGTACATTCTGAAATGGAATCCAGAAAGAAAATTTTTTTCCACTAATGTTTTTGGTATTTTTTTTTTATTAAGGGATTCTTACTTACTATGTCTTGTAAGGTCCTTTCTTTGTGTTTTATCACTCTTTTTGCTTAATTTGAAATAATCTTCTCTCATGCAGCTTTCTTCAAGTGGAGATGGTCTTAATACCAGTGCCTGCAGGGAGATTGATCTCAGTTGTTACTCACTTGAAGACTTCCTGAGCTAGGAGAGTTCTAGGAAGCTGTAGACTACCTTGAATTTCTTATTAAAAGTATTCATTGCACAAATGTATTCCAAAATAACTCTTTCATGTATGGTGTCAATGGCACTGTTTATCTACAGTATTTGAGACAAATAGCTGTTGCTCAGATAGGAGTTCTTGTTAAGTGATCTTGTCAGTAGTCTTTGGTGTTGGAAGTTTCTTAACATTTAGCATAAGCTTTAATGTTTGATTTTGTTAATTATTTTTTTTTTTTAATATTTGGGCTTAGGAAGTAGATTCAGTTATTACTACCTTTGCAATATTTTGCAGAATTAGGAGAAAAAGGAAGGCCTTCAGGATAAAAATATAATTGGACAAATTAAAGGGCAGATGGGAACAAACAGCTCAGTATTCCAGCTCATCTGCATACAGATACTATATACATAGGTGATCTGCATAGTGGTAGCTCCTTCCAAACTGAGGAATTTTATATCTCTTTTATATTTTAGTCATATGAAGAAGTATATAACTTTCACTGTGTGACTGTTTAGGAACTTTTTGGTAAAAAAATAAATAATGACTGGGATCCTTCTTTTTATATGTCTAATTGTACATTCTGCATTTTGTTTATTCTGATATCTGTCTACATTATATAACATCTATGTACAATTGATTAGAGGCATACAAACTACTCTCATTTTTTCTAATTAGATTTTTTAATTTACTACATACTAATAAAATCATATTTTGGTACAGTTCATATTTCATATCATTCATACAGTCTATTATATAGTGTAATTAATCAAATGTGACATTATAAACTGCTTTTCTACAATACAGTTGTTTGAACTCACAAGCTTTGTTTTCTAACATCTGCTGCTCAAATGTTGTTTTACTGTATGAAATATGTTTGGGTTTTTTTCCAGATTGTCACAAACAAGTCCACTTTTCAAGAATACTCAGACAAGCCCAATGTACACACAGTTCCTGACCACATTACTGGAAGAACTGCATTTCAAAAATGAAGATATGGAAAGTTTAACAAGAATATTTAGAATGAACTGACAACTTGAATGGTCAGTCAGATTTAAGCTACTTTGTGTGTCTTAAAACCAAGCTGGTTAACCACGGGTTTAATTTTCAGCATTTTGTAAGTATGTACAGTAATGACAGATTGTATCAGCTGGAGCAGAAAATGTGTGAAGCACATTTTAAAGTAAAGAAGTCTATATGGTATGGAAATAAGTGTCATCATTTTATCACTTACAGTAAATGCAGCTGCTTACTTATCACACTTAATCTTTTCATAATGTATGGTTGGTTTACTGCAATTTTGAGGAATTTTTACTACCACAGTTTATTTAAAAAATTGTGTGGCAACAATGGCTAAGACTAAGCAGGGTTTTTTTTTAATTATGACAAGGAAATTTTTATGTTCCATTTTTGCAATATAAAATTGAGTTAAGGGACATATATTTTTTGCATAATGTTGAGATTACATTTTTCATTCCAGGTAGGCCAAAAAATTTAAGAGCAAATACCTTATGTTGATCATACTGAACTGATTTAATAAATATAGCATTATAGTATTGTTACTAATCTCACTCCTTTGTTCCCCACAGAATAACATGATCATCGTAGCATTTCCTACTACCTGAAATAGTTGCACAGAGAACAAAATAACACCTTCAGTTGTTTGAGCTCTTAAAAATGAAAAATGAAATTTCATATGAATTGTAGTTCTTGCATTTCTGCTTTTTCATTTCCTTCCTATGGGTAAGAATTTTGCAGTCTTGTGAAGAAGCTGACTAACTGCAGTTGTTCAAGGTATGAAGACAAGTTAAAATATGGATCATCTGAAAAGTGTTCAAAAGCTGTAGAAAGAAATTTGGATTGGTTTGGTTTTTCTTGATTTGGAAACTTTCAGTCAATGTTTGTCTACAGGGATCAGGGAGAGACGGGGACTCTTACCCCTGATGGTAAGAGCCGTGCTGCTGACATTTTTCCAGTTTCCCTCGTGCATGGAGCAGGAATCTTTAAGAATGATGACAACAGTACACAAATATGTCTGATTCATAGCCTGTTTGTCTTGCTACTTCTAAGAAAAGGGGTGGTCTTTGAACTTGTGTAAAAGTTATTTTTAAACAGACTTTAGGTGTTACTAATTTGGACTTTTAAAATATATTTTAATAACTACATTTTTTTTTGCTTTCAGTAGTCATTTCATTTCAAAGAGTTGTGTTATTTAGGCTGTGTTTGGAATAGCTTCTGTCACTGATGGATTATAAATTGCATTTTAAAACTAGTCCTAGTAGTTTTAGATTACTAGAATCACTAGTAATTCTTAATGATTCCATAATATGTTTTATTTATAGTTCTCAGATCATAGGACACTGTATTTTGAGAGACTTAAGAAGAAAGTTGTAATTGACAGTGTTTAGTCTGCAGCAAATGCCAGCACTAGTTAAGGCTGAGACAAGCCTTACCAGGGCTGCTGCACATTCACTCAATTTGAAAAACCAAAGTTTATTCCTTTGTAATTGGACTTCTGTAATTGGACACCAGAAAGGAACTTAACTAGTTCATTTCATGATAATCAGAATAAACATGTAGATTACCCCTGACACACAGAAGCTCATGCAGCTTTGCCATGGAAGCTTCACTGCGCAGTAGACTTTATTTAGGTGATGCTTGACTTTTCCAAACTTACATTGTAATGGGAAGTTATGTTCAGTGTAAGTTGTAAAAGCAACAATTTAGAACTAGAACCTTTAATGCAGAGTTACAGCTATGCATTTTTCTAAGTATGCAGTAGGGGGGAAATTGCCCATTATGATCAGAGTGTGTCTTATACAAAATTTGTAAGAATTACTGGATAGACATTGGTTTTGTACCATGATGGAAAAAGCTTACTTGATACATATGGACAGAAGGGTCAAGACCTCACCAAAATACAAACTTCTGTAGAAGACTGAGTAATAGGTATGATACTCTGAGCACAATTTAAACCTTGAATTTATATCTATTCACTTCTGATTTTTGGAAGTTGACTGAATTTGTATTTTCAGCTAGTAGATTCTGAGCAAGCCTGTTACATGCAGGTTTACCTTAGGGCACGAAGATTACCTTACAACAGTTCTGCCATACAGAGTACACCTAGAAGGCATTGCAGATGTACATCATACCAGGAATGTGACTGTGTTTCATCAGGTTTGATGGCTCTCATTTGGAAAGTTTTTACACTTCCTGTCAGTTTAGTGGTGTGATTTTTTTTGGTACTTATTTTTAGGCTTGGGGTTCACCACCTACTGTGTAGGAAATGTATGATCGTGTAATAAAAATTAATAGGTTGCAGGCTCAAAGACCATTTTATCAGGGTTCACTATAACTGCTTTTACTGTCTGCCTCAGCAGCTCAAAAAAGTAAGCTTTCAGGATTTATGCATCTCTTCTTTCACTGCTTTGTAGTAAGCTCCTTCATTCTTTTCCTTGCCCTACAAGAACAAATTAATATTTCTCCATCCATGAGGCCAGAAGAAGAGTCTGTAGTATGCTGGGAACACCCTAAAGAGATATTCTTCACTTCCTTGTGATGATTTCGTCTCCATTAGACACGAGTAGCACACATGTAAATAAATGGAGAAAGTGTACATATGTACCCAATACTTTTGAATGAGAGAGGCTATAGACTCATCCCAAAAGGATCTTTCAGTACGGCCAGCCTTAACTGGTGTATAAAAATCACAACTCAAATACCAAAAATTCAATTCATTTATGTAGTTTTCTTATGAGCATGCTTTGTAACAGCCTAACTGCTTAGAAATGGTCAAATCTAGATATCTTTTTTTATCCTAAAGGAAATTTCTGTCAGAAGTATCTGTCCTTCAGAAAATGTCACTCTTTCTTAACTCAGCTGGTTTTTGGTGTTGTTCTTCCCCCTTCTCATTGTGCTTATGTTCGCAGACAGATTGTTTCCTTGTGGCCTTGTTTCTGTGCTTACTGATTTTCCTTCTGTGTAAATTAAACAGATGAGAGCAGCTGACATGTGGGTCAGTGGTGGTTTCAGCCTTATCTCAGAATACACTAAATTGTAGTGACTGACTTCTGAGCTGCAGATGTGAAGCGACATCATGGATCTGGGGTTTAGGGTAAATGGGACAGAAGCCTCTATTTCTGAACAGCTCTGTCAAAGGGGCATAAACTTGGTAAAGCCATTAGCACCTTAGAGGACAAAGATCATAAAGTCTCAGAAGTCCACTGCCATAACCCTGTAAAGGATCCAGCACTGTCTGGCCATGGACCAGTAGCGGGGCAAATAGAGTTTCTTTTAATAGCAGGGAGGTGGGAAGGAAACCAAACTTATATGTTGATTATTTTTTCCTGACATATATAATTGATTTAGTAAAGAATAAAAGAACAGCTTAGTTTAAAGCTTGCAGCAAAGCTTGCTTCATGCTGTTACAGCTGTTCCACCTCAAAGGAGGAACATGTGACACATACCTACCTGCATGTCACAGAATGGATTTCTTACCAAGTTTTCCATAGCTGTAATGAAATAATCTCAGGAAGAGAACAAGCACATACACAGAGTCACATTTTCTCAACATTATTCAAAGCAGTCTTTGTGTTGGCCAAAGAGGCTGATGGAAAGACTTTTGTGTCTATTTTCACACCAAAGTTCAGTTCACAGCTTGGTAAATACTCTCAGTGTAAGCACTGCACTCTTTAATACTAAATTTCCTAGCATAGAGCCCTTCACTGCTGCCATTTGATTATTTTTGCCCATTGACCATGCTAAACTTATTTTTCTTGGATTTTGGAGAGAAAAAGAGGAGTCAGAGTGATTCATTTATGTTCACCGTTTCAGGAAAGTACAAAAGTCATAATGTAACCCATACACTTTCAGTTTTTTGAAGAGATTGCCTTGAATCTGTGTAAAGGTTCCAAATCAAGCTAGATATGATAATGCAAATTCCTACATTAAAACAAGCAGAAGAGAGCCTGATTTATTTAATTGAAAACTATCAAAACAAAAAGTTTCTTAGCATAACTGACAGGGCTGTGCTGCTGTCTAAACCCAGGGCTAGAAATTTAGATCCACCCTGTCTTTCAAAGGGAGATGCAGGGAGCGACAAGGTGCTGGTACATGCATGATATGTGCCCTGGCCTCACAGGCTGTGTCCACACAACACATACAAAAGTCACCTGTATTTTCACTCTTCAGTCTCAGTGAGTAGCTTCAAAGTGAGACATCTGTTGTGGTTTTAGGGGAAAATAACGGTTTTGTGAATCTTGATGTTGCATGTCCTACCCTTCTCCCCCTATTTTGAGAGAACCTGGACTCTACAAGGTGCAAGAGGGGATGAGCAGCTCAGCTGGACATGTCTCTTGTAACTTTCAACTCTTTTAGAAAAAAGGACTAGCACATCAAAGAGAAGAAAAAGGAAGAGAGAAGGGGAAAGCAGTACTCATACCATCTAAATTTAGGCATCCAAACTTAGGTACCTGCCTGTCTTCATTTGCTTCAGAGAGAACTGATGCTCTTAAATTTAGGGTCTCCAGATCTTACCTTAGTGCATTTTAACTTATAAGAGTTAACACCAAAAGAATTCAAGTGAGTGCCAGTCTTTAGGGAAAGAAAAATAATGCCCCTATGTTGAAATTAGGCTACACTCTAGTTCAAGAGTTTGCCTCTAAGTTCTCCATACTTATTTCATACTTATTTCCATGTTTATTTCTGCAATTGCATGTGAACACACAGTATGGTGGGTGGGGTTTAGCTTGATCTCGCTGGGACAGCAGGTAATGCTGAACTGTCATTTCCAGTGAGCATTAAATATTGAAAACATAGACTCAGCCTCTCCTTTTGGCAAGTCTTAAGTTTCCATTAGAAGCAGATGGTATACAAGGCCGGGCTAGGCACCTAAGTATAAAGACCTCTTGTTTCTCAACTGTGTATCTCTACCACCTGACAGCCAGTCCTCCTCTGATTAGAGTCAAAGGAAGTGGGTGTGTCTTCCATTAGCAAAGGCGGAAAGTAATATTGGTGGAGACTTTTCCTCTCGTGAGTTTTCTTTTTGTGACGCTTCATCTTAGAAGCACTTCTCTGCAGAGTGGATAGTACTTTGGGAGATGGGCTGCCTGAAAGATGCTGTAGAACGTGAGCTGTGGCATTTGTGGTGCTACACAGGATTTGGTGAGATGGAGGGGGATGTGTGTGGGAAACATATCTTCAAGGGGCTCTCATTTAGCACTCTGGTTTCAAAAAGCAAGGGAAAACAGATGAGCCTCTGAGCAATATATGGACATGTGTGACAAATTCATTCGCCCTGAGTTGCTTGTAGCTGTAGAGTAGATAAAGTGCAAGCTGGAGTTCTGAAGAAAATAGATAAACTTTGCTATGAGAATTGAATGTGTAGACACCTAGACTTGGTAAGGCTAATCAATCAGAACTGCAGTAAGTGTGGCCCCTGTATGCTGCAGCGGTCCCCCTGTTTGTTGGCTTACTGTGCTCTTGCAGTTCCCTCAAGACAAGAGCTCCAAAGAGCCCCTCTCCAACAACAGGCTAGAGCACAACCACGGGTTCAGCAAAGTCCCTGCTTGGAAGTCAGTCCCCAGGACACTGTAGTAGGCAGTACTTTAAAGGCAAACTCTTTGGTACATTTTTGCACTCTGTGATTACCTGCGGGATGCATGCAAGGATCAGAGCACAAAGCCACTGGGGCTACTGGCTGGTACATCCTGCATCATCAAATCAGTGCTACTTCTGGCACTTCTTACCTTCTTAAATTTCATGGTGTATGTAGCTGAATTGAACACTTAGTGGGACAGCAGCAGCTTCTTGGGGAGTCCTACAGTTAGGTTAGAATTAGTCATCACTACAGAGAGCTTGAAGGACTTTGGAAACAGCTTTAATAAGCTGCAAACATTAGATCAGGATTTACATCATAAATCTTGCCTTTTTGTTTTACGCAAATAGGAGTGTCTACAAATCAGGTTAATATAATTTAACAGTACAGCAGTTAAGTAACAAAAAGGACCATAATTAGTAGTATTATCTAAGAAGCCACAGCAACCCTGCTTACAGCTGTCAGCTAAGATCTGACTCATCTAAGATATTTTATAGCAACCATATGTTAGGCATGTCTATCTCACCTATTATGCAGAGAAATGATAACGTTTCCTAATCAGGATTTGCCACTAAGCAGGATTTTCCGTAAACACCTCAGTACTGCAAGTGCTAGAGTCAGGAGGAAAACCTTTTGCAGACACTTCTGATTTGTTAATTTAATAAACAGAATAAACGGTTGCAAATCTGTGGCTAGTACTGATTTAGCAAGGCTGGCTCTAGTTCAAAGTGTAGGTACATTACTTTGGCAGTTGAAATGGTAAATACCACTTTAGCACAGAATTCGTGAAGATAATTACTAACTTTTGCATTTCTTGTTCATAGTTTCAGATTGAAGACATGCTCTCAAAGCACGTGATCCATTAAAAATACTTTGCTGAGATGGTGCAAGCAAAGTTTTATTGGTATAATATCTGTACCTGCATAGCCAGAAAAGAGAGGGTGAATTCACACCATATAGGAGAGAAAGATTAAAAGATAAGTTTTAAAATACTATAGTCCTTTGATAACAATGTGGATGGTTAAGCTAGAATAATAATTGCACTTTAACAAAGGCAGAAACTGTTCAAAAACCCAATGACTGTTAATTTTTTAATAAGGATTAGATCCAGTTCACTGTTACACTGAAACCTGCATAAGCCTACACCCCTTTGCAGTCGGACTTGACTCCTTCTTGTGCAAAGGCTGCTTAAATATCCATCAAACTTAATTATTCCCAAGCAGTGTTGAGAAAATAGGGGATAAAGCTGAAATCCCAACATTTCCTTCTGCTCTCAAAAGGGCAGTAGTTTTACTGCTTAAAAGCTTTTTTGAGTACTGAAGAGTATTTTTTTTCCTGAACTATGGGCTCTCGGTACATTTTTTTTTTTAATATATACTTTTGCTGTTTAAGATCCTTGGCTTATAAAATTTCACAACTAGAAACGTTGTTAAAGTGTTTGTTTTTATTAAGATAATTAAGAGCATTTGAAAACTTGAAAAATAAGTGATTTTACAGATACCACATTAGCCCTCTACAGCTCGGGGTCATATATATGTCATTTCTGCTAAGTATTCATTTCTAAGATCCTCCCAAGCTCTGCTTTTTTATCCTCTGAACATCTGATGCTTCTTGTTATTCTTCTATAACCACAGATGTGCCCTCTTCAAAAAACTCACAATCTCACAATGCTAAACTGACAAGCTGAGTGTCAAACCACACACCCCAAGCAGCCCTGAAGAAAAACAGAATCACGCTTGAAGCAAAACAGAATAAATCACACAAATTGTTTCCAAAGAATGAATCTGAAACATTGCAAACTGTGCACCGGCATTGTTTCCTAAGAATGCAAATGCCATTTTTATGATCACTTACACTATAAGTATAGACTGTTCTCTGAAAGAAGAGATTAATTTGAACAACTTTTTATTTCCTTGTTAAGTTTGTTTTCTCTCTCTCTCTCTGAGCTGAACTGGAGCCTTGCTCTGGGAACGAGCTGGGTCTCCTTTCTGCCGAAAAGCAGCATGGGTGTGCCGGCTGAGGCTGAGCGAGGCCACTGCGCTGGGAGCGTGTGGTTTGTGCAGCTCGGAGCCGCTGTGCACCGCGGCCCTGAGAGCCTGCCCGGGAGCTGCTCGGGAGCTGCCTCCTGCCCGGGAGCTGCCTCCTGCCCGGGAGCTGCCTCCTGCCCGGGAGCTGCCTCCTGCCCGGGAGCTGCCTCCTGCCCGGGAGCTGCCTGGGAGCTGCCTCCTGCCCGGGAGCTGCCTCCTGCCCGGGAGCTGCCTCCTGCCCGAGAGCTGCCTCCTGCCTGGGAGCCTGCCTGGGAGCTGCCTCCTGCCTGGGTGCCAGGCTCTGGGCACAGCGCGGTGCAGCCATTTGTCCAGCTCTCCATGGCCAGGCTGCAGCAGGATCCCACAGCTCTCTCAGCTGTAGTGCC